CCCCAAAACCCCAAAACCCCATTTAGACTCAATAATTTTTATACAGAGTAAAATTAATTTAATAAAATGAAAAAAATATAAATTATACAATTGAGTTTTATAGTTTCCAAAAAAATATCCGAAATAATTTATAAAATATAATTAAAATGAAGCATATCCTAATGCTTGCTTTAATGCTATAAAATCTAAATATTTTTTCCCAATCCCTACCTCATGATTCTCCTTCTGAATATGGAGATACTTAGTTACTTACAATAATTGATACACCAAATGATTAAAACATTAAATTTGAAAACCAAGAATCAAAAGCCAGAATTACATAAGAGAATCTCTCAATGTACGTTTACCCAGATGGGGAAAGCAGTACAGACAAAATTATTGCTGATGTACTACTTGGGGCCCCAATCAGTCCCAAAAATTTAATTGTAAAAGTTGTTGGCCATTAAGAGCCCAATCCTATAAAATCTGTTTTGATGGAAGGATTGTCAAAACTTCTAAAGCAACCAGATTTCAAATATATTGCATCTATTCACACTTCGAATAATATCGTATTAAAAAATGACGATGCTAACATAATATTTGGAAACTTAAAGAAATGTTAAGATATACATAAATAATCAGGCATCCATTGGTCTAGTGTCTAAATTGATGCAGAGCCAGTATTTGATTCAAGCTCCGGTCTTAACAACGTTGATTTTCTGATCTATCTTGGAAACCTAATTAATAATTAATTACGCCTCCCCTTCACTATATATTTCAGCCCTGCTAAGTTTGGCAATAAGTAGAATGGAATTTATGTGAAAGACAATGCTTCATTCAATAGAGTAATGAAATTTATCAAAGCCTTCTCTGGAAATCAGATTTGGCTACCATCTTATTCTTATGCAGATGACCCAGTGAAAATTGATGACATCGAAGATAGCGTAAAAATATTGAAATCTGCAAATGCAAGCTATCAACTTATTTTGGATACTAAAGATCCTCCTAAACTTAAAAATAGAATACAAGATATCAAAACAAAAGGACTGAATTCAGCTGAAGGTTTGAGTATTTTTTCTGTAAGTAAAAATGGCAATGAGAACCTCAATTAATCCCTTAGCTATATCGCTCAAATTGATGATTGATGCATTTGTTCAGTCAAATTGAGATTTGAAATTTAAACTATGTTATTAATTATTAAGTTACCATAATTTCAATACTTCTCTGAAAAAATAATAGCAAAGGGGGTTTTGGGGTTTTGGGG